AGTCAAGAAGCAGAGGGTCGAGGACTGGGAAACAGCTCACCTTCCTCCACTCCTTCTTTTCTTCCTTCTTTGTGAAGACCGTGTGCACCCACCAGATCTTGGTGAACATGGAGCCATAACCCAGACTAAAGCCTAGGCCTAAGAGCCAGAGGCGCGCCTAGAAAACAGAGGGCTGGGCAGTAGGTGGGACTGGCGAGGATGGGCAGGGCCGTAGGCGGGAGTGTGGGCAGGGAGCAGATGACAAGCAGGCAGAATGCAGCCAGCAGGGGATAACGTGGGGAGGGAATAATTCCTTCAACAATTCCTCCCATCCGTCTTCCTCTACACCACCAGCGTGATCTTGCTAAAAGCTGCTGGCTTTAGTGGCCATACACTTCTAATAACCCTCTAATACTACGAGTTACAGAACACCTCCTGATGTGACACGGGACCCTTTACAATATGGTCCCACCCATCTATCCACGCTCATCTCCCAGGCGCTCACCCACCCCTCCAGGCACACCGAGCTACTCGCTTTCCCTTGATCTACTCTTTCTAGCCATGTGATATTCCCCCTGCCCCTTGAGAACCTCCATTTCTCCAGCTGAGAATTCCATCCATCTTTCAATACACTTGTTTTGTGAGGTCCCCACTGTGTCCAACAGTACTTTGGGCAGGTCCCTATGCCATTGCCTCGCCTGAGGCACTAAAGCTAAGCACTGGCCTCTCCCACTGTGCTCTGGTCTCACTGGTAACTCTTGATGAACTGTATGTACATGTGTGTGCAAATGCCGTGTGCTTAGACATATTAGCAGGACAACACAGGGCAGAGGCGAGAGTAAGAATGGGCAAGAATAGGGAAGTGTGTTTCCTATCAGTATAACAGAGAACAACTCAAACATCACTGCTGAAGCCAGCCTTTCCTCATCACCTTCTATGTATCAACAGCTCTGGACCTCCGGGACTCGTACCTGCATGACAGCGGTCCCTTCCCCCAACTCTCTCTGCTATTTGTTTGGATCTCTGCTTCTGTTCTTCCAAACCCCAGCTAACTCCCACGGGAAGTCCACACTCTGGTTCTCAGCCCCCGCACCACAGACAAGCCACCATTGTTCTGGGATTCTTTGTGCAGACACCCTCCCTTTGACTTCAAAACCTCCCTCCTCCTCTCTCAAGGCATGCCATGGCAACCTTGGAACCAGTGAGAGAACTACACAATGGAAAAGGTCTGGGGCACAGGAAGAAGGAACAAGCCCAACAGAGACCAGAGTGGTGATGCCAGGACTGAGGAACAGGACAAGCATCTGAGAAAAATAAGGAGAGGCAGGGAACCATGAATCATAGAAGGTGTTCCTGATGGGGTTGGGAGAGCCACACTCTGCAAGGTATTTGCCCACCAGCTCCTCACCTGGCAGACGAAGGGGAACTGGCTCCTCCCGATGTGATAGCCATCCAGCCCCAGGGGGAAGACAGCAGCTAACGCCAGCGAGCAGCCCACGGCAGTCAGATTGTTCAGATTGGGCTGTGAGTTCTGGATATAACTAGGGCAGAGGCGGGGAGGGTGGGAGAAGAGAGAAAGCAGAATTACCCCTCTTCTCTATGAAGGTTTGGCTATCCAAATGTCACACAGCTCTGGGGCCACAGGACAAAGGAAGACAGGGTTGGCAGGCAGTGGACCCTTCAAAGACAAAGCCGACTAGATCAGGGGTTAGAAATGGAGCTGCAGACGGCTCCCCCCACTGGAATACACTATTTATTTAGAACCCATGACTGTGTTACCTGGTCCCAGAGGTTGTGCTTTTTGTTTGTTTGTTTGTTTGTTTGTTTCCAGATAACTACTTTGGAGCAGAGGTGGAGGTTATATCTGTTTTCCTCCCTTTCACTCTAAATCAGAAATGAAAACCTCTACAACACATGACCTTAGGAGTCACAGTGGTTTTATCCTCTCTCTCTTCAAAGAGATGACCATTTTCTTAGAAAAGCAGCCAGGCAAGGGGAATGCCAGAGGAGAAACTTACCGAACATGGGAGTTGTAGATATTAAACGACAGACAGACAACAGCGAGGACAATGCCCAGGCTGGAGAGAACCGAGACAGAAATAAAGAGTTTCTGTGACAGGAAGCGGAATGTCTTGATGACCAGGGTCTGGTCAGCTGGGGGGGACCCTCCTGCAAGGGGTGGAAGAGAAAAAAGGGGAAGAGAAAGGAAGAACAAAGAAATGAAGACAGGACAGGAGGAAGGGGAAAGGGCAAGGTTGCCATGGACATTCAGTCCTTGGCTGAGTGCACGAAGCCCCAGCTGCGCTGAAAGGTATTCTGCAGGGCACGGGGCCCTTTGGAAGCAACTGGAAATGAGACGAGAAGATAAGACTGAATGTTCTGACCTGAGGCTTGGAAACACTAAAGCATGCTACCAAAGTTGTAGAAAAACCAGGTTTTTGTTGTTGTTATTGTTGTTTTTATTATGTGCTTTTTATTTTTCTGTCTTTCTGCAGCAAAGGAAAATGGGAGAGGAGATAAGGGAATAGCTAGGAAACTTTATGAGCACTTATAACTCCAGTCAAAAGCTGCAAAAGGTAAATCCATGGTGGCACAGGCAGTGGGGCAATGCTCTGTAGTGCTGAAAGACTGAGGGTTTGGATCCCAGTTGACCTAAGCAGCCCAGGCCCTCAAACACCCATGATCATGGCTGGCTGAAAGGTTGGGGATGGGAGGGCATGACCATGGCATGAGACTCCATCAAGGGTGCCCTTGTCTCTTTCAGAAAACAAAATAAAGAGGGGCCAGCAGATGGTATAGTGGTTAAGGGACTGGATTCCCATGTGGTTGACTGCAGTTCAAGTCCCAGACCAGTGGCTTGAAATTCACACCAGGTGTATATGCATGCAGGCCAAAAAATATGAAAGGAAATGGAAGAGAAGGCATTGCAGCAGAGCCATCTACCCCTGGAGGATGCTGTCTTTCTAGTGAGCACGCACACCCTGTATCAAAAATCCCTTAAATAATTAAATAGTTCTTTTAAAAACTTAAATTAAAATAAATAAGCTTTTTTTAAGCTGCAAAAGATAATTATAGCATCATTTTAAAAATCATAAGAAAAATTGGGGCCAGCAGGTACTGGACGCTTACATGGCCAACCACAGTTTGAGTCCCGGACTAGGCAGCTTGTTTTCCCCCCTTCTCTCTCTCTCTCTCTCACTATGTCTGTTCCTGGTCAAATTGAAAAATAATGATAATAAATAACTAATTAACTAATTCTTTTTTAAAAAATCATGAGAAATCATAAAAAGCTAAAGATCTAGTGTGCCTTCCTAACCTTACACAACAAATCAACCCTTCCCCCCAAAAAAAACCTAATCTGAGATTCTAAACCTGACAGTGATATTCCCAAAAGTGTTTTCCAGTTATCCAAAAAAAACCCTAATCTGAGATCCTAAACCTGACATAGTGATATTCCCAAAAGTGTTTTCCAGTTATTATCAAGAGAAGTTCAAATCTGTTAAGAGTTCACCCTCAAAAAAAAAAAAAGAAAAAGAAAACACTAATTTTAATTTGCTTAGTAAAAAAAAAAAAAAAAGTAATTTAGGCCACACTGCATTTATAGCAACACAGAAAACTGTCCTAAATTCAAATTATATGTTAAAAAAAAAAAATGCAAAACTCCAACAGTGCTGAGTATGACTAGATTTCAGTTGGTCAGGGCAGATGGCAGCTGTCTTCAATGGCTGTATTTTCCATCCATTCTCCCTGTGCCAATCTTCATTTTTTGTTTTAACCAGTAGGTCCTTCCTTTTGCCCACCTTCAGTCTCTTTCCCAGTTCCTGTCACCTACTTCCTGTTAACCTACTAAGAACACAAAGAATAACTGCTTACTATCCCTCTGAAAAAGCATATTTTAGCAGAGATAATTATATAAGATTTTTTTCTAAGTGAGAGATTTTTTTTTGCTATAGGGCACGTGCGCTTTCTGGAGAGACAGAGAGACAGAAAGCAAGAAATCACTCCCCCGGGGGGGAATGGCCACGCTGCAATCCCTTCTCCTTCATTCTCCTCTCGGGATCTTGGGCACACACGCACACATGCCCAGAATGAGTTTTAAGCCACCGGTTCCAAGACTTAAACCATGGTCAACTACATGGGAGTTCAGCAACCATAACCATTACACCATCTGCTAGTCCCAATAATTCCATAAGATTTTGCTTACTCCCTATAGGTTAAGCCACTATTTTCCTGACAGACAGAGGCAGGTTTGGCCTGAAGTAGCTGGTCCAGATATATCAAGGCATCAGCACATCTGGGAAATCCAAATGGAATTTCCATCTTTTGCTTCCTGCCCACCCCGGCCTCTTATCCCTAGTTACCCCAGCAATACACTGGTTTTAAAAAATAATTATTTATTTTATTTCACTTATTTTTATTATTTTTCAATTTGACCAGAGACAAAGAAAGGGAAAAAAAAGTATTCTTTTTTTTAAAGATTTCTTTATTTAATTCCATTTGTTATTACTATTATTTTTCAGTTTGATCGGAGAGAGAGAGAAAGGGAAAGTGAGAAAACAGGCTTCCAGGTTCGGGACTCAAACCACAGTCTAGCATGTGGGAGTCCAGCATCTAACCACCACGCCACCTGCCAGCCCTTGGATTAACTTTCTTTTTTTTTTTTTTTCACATTATTTATTATTTGTTTTTTGTATATACTTCCGATCATATTGTTTGGCTTACAATGAGACCATTTCGATATGTGCACATTTCTCCCCAGACCCGTTGATCGAAATAACTTTAACAGATAACACCACACCTCCCCATCCGGTCAATGCTCTACCTCTGTAACCCTTCTCCAAATGTCCTTCGTTAGGCCCCACTCCTCCACATACACCTCGTCTGACATTCACACCCATCTCTTGTGATTGTTCAACCATTAGTCAATCAGTTTCAGTCATAGAATGCAGATATACGGTATATGTTAAGTGGGGACACACAATGTCTTGTATTCACTTTCTTAACCTGTGCCCTTAGCCCATCTCCCTGCAACATTATAAGCTAATAGCACCTGCCACCCCACCCTCATTCCAATCTTCTCTTTGATTGTTCAGAGGGGTTGAAAGAAAACATAAAATGATCTACTTACCAATCCATTTATCCGTTTTGGACCAGGAAAGATCATCTTTGGTGCTGTCATAGTAGCCAATCTTCTTGTAGCTGCCACCTGGGCAGATGACAACAGAAGTGACCACAGGTAGCTGAAGAGCCAATCACAGGCATTTTCAATCATGGTGGTCTCTTATTTTACCTTTATCTGAGTCCCTAATGGATACTCGGAAGGACTTAGGGGTTGCTTGATTCAGCAACCTGACTTAAGAGCAATATAAGGTAGTGGACCAGCAAGTGGCATAGTGGTTAAGGTGCTGGACACTCCCACATGGCTGACCACGCTCAAGCCCCGGACCTGCCGCTTGCTTTCTA